CAACTGCCCCACCCTAGCCAACTGCCCCACCCTAGCCAACTGCCCCACCCTAGCCAACTGCCCCACCCTAGCCAACTGCCCCACCCTAGCCAACTGCCCCACCCTAGCCAACTGCCCCACCCTAGCCAACTGCCCCACCCTAGCCAACTGCCCCACCCTAGCCAACTGCCCCACCCTAGCCAACTGCCCCACCCTAGCCAACTGCCCCACCCTAGCCAACTGCCCCACCCTAGCCAACTGCCCCACCCTAGCCAACTGCCCCACCCTAGCCAACTGCACCACCCTAGCCAACTGCCCCACCCTAGCCAACTGCCCCACCCTAGCCAACTGCCCCACCCTAGCCAACTGCCCCACCCTAGCCAACTGCCCCACCCTAGCCAACTGCCCCACCCTAGCCAACTGCCCCACCCTAGCCAACTGCCCCACCCTAGCCAACTGCCCCACCCTAGCCAACTGCCCCACCCTAGCCAACTGCCCCAACCCTAGCCAACTGCCCCACCCTAGCCACTGCCCCACCCTAGCCAACTGCCCCACCCTAGCCAACTGCCCCACCCTAGCCAACTGCCCCACCCTAGCCAACTGCCCCACCCTAGCCAACTGCCCCACCCTAGCCAACTGCCCCACCCTAGCCAACTGCCCCACCCTAGCCAACTGCCCCACCCTAGCCAACTGCCCCACCCTAGCCAACTGCCCCACCCTAGCCAACTGCCCCACCCTAGCCAACTGCCCCACCCTAGCCAACTGCCCCACCCTAGCCAACTGCCCACCCTAGCCAACTGCCCCACCCTAGCCAACTGCCCCACCCTAGCCAACTGCCCCACCCTAGCCAACTGCCCACCCTAGCCAACTGCCCCACCCTAGCCAACTGCCCCACCCTAGCCAACTGCCCCACCCTAGCCAACTGCCCCACCCTAGCCAACTGCCCCACCCTAGCCAACTGCCCCACCCTAGCCAACTGCCCCACCCTAGCCAACTGCCCCACCCTAGCCAACTGCCCCACCCTAGCCAACTGCCCCACCCTAGCCAACTGCCCCACCCTAGCCAACTGCACCACCCTAGCCAACTGCCCCACCCTAGCCAACTGCCCCACCCTAGCCAACTGCCCCACCCTAGCCAACTGCCCCACCCTAGCCAACTGCCCCACCCTAGCCAACTGCCCCACCCTAGCCAACTGCCCCACCCTAGCCAACTTGCCCCACCCTAGCCAACTGCCCCACCCTAGCCAACTGCCCCACCCTAGCCAACTGCCCCACCCTAGCCAACTGCCCCACCCTAGCCAACTGCCCCACCCTAGCCAACTGCCCCACCCTAGCCAACTGCCCCACCCTAGCCAACTGCCCCACCCTAGCCAACTGCCCCACCCTAGCCAACTGCCCCACCCTAGCCAACTGCCCCACCCTAGCCAACTGCCCCACCCTAGCCAACTGCCCCACCCTAGCCAACTGCCCCACCCTAGCCAACTGCCCCACCCTAGCCAACTGCACCACCCTAGCCAACTGCCCCACCCTAGCCAACTGCACCACCCTAGCCAACTGCCCCACCCTAGCCAACTGCCCACCTTAGCCAACTGCCCCACCCTAGCCAACTGCCCCACCCTAGCCAACTGCCCCACCCTAGCCAACTGCCCCACCCTAGCCAACTGCACCACCCTAGCCAACTGCCCCACCCTAGCCAACTGCCCCACCCTAGCCAACTGCCCCACCCTAGCCAACTGCCCCACCCTAGCCAACTGCCCCACCCTAGCCAACTGCCCCACCCTAGCCAACTGCCCCACCCTAGCCAACTGCACCACCCTAGCCAACTGCTCCACCCTAGCCAACTGCCCCACCCTAGCCAACTGCCCCACCCTAGCCAACTGCACCACCCTAGCCAACTGCCCCACCCTAGCCAACTGCCCCACCCTAGCCAACTGCCCCACCCTAGCCAACTGCACCACCCTAGCCAACTGCCCCACCCTAGCCAACTGCACCACCCTAGCCAACTGCTCCACCCTAGCCAACTGCCCCACCCTAGCCAACTGCACCACCCTAGCCAACTGCCCCACCCTAGCCAACTGCCCCACCCTAGCCAACTGCCCCACCCTAGCCAACTGCCCCACCCTAGCCAACTGCCCCACCCTAGCCAACTGCACCACCCTAGCCAACTGCTCCACCCTAGCCAACTGCCCCACCCTAGCCAACTGCCCCACCCTAGCCAACTGCCCCACCCTAGCCAACTGCACCACCCTAGCCAACTGCCCCACCCTAGCCAACTGCCCCACCCTAGCCAACTGCACCACCCTAGCCAACTGCCCACCCTAGCCAACTGCCCCACCCTAGCCAACTGCCCCACCCTAGCCAACTGCCCCACCCTAGCCAACTGCCCCACCCTAGCCAACTGCCCCACCCTAGCCAACTGCCCCACCCTAGCCAACTGCCCCACCCTAGCCAACTGCACCACCCTAGCCAACTGCCCCACCCTAGCCAACTGCCCCACCCTAGCCAACTGCCCCACCCTAGCCAACTGCCCCACCCTAGCCAACTGCACCACCCTAGCCAACTGCCCCACCCTAGCCAACTGCCCCACCCTAGCCAACTGCCCCACCCTAGCCAACTGCCCCACCCTAGCCAACTGCCCCACCCTAGCCAACTGCCCCACCCTAGCCAACTGCCCCACCCTAGCCAACTGCCCCACCCTAGCCAACTGCCCCACCCTAGCCAACTGCCCCACCCAAGCCAACTGCACCACCCTAGCCAACTGCACCACCCTAGCCAACTGCCCCACCCTAGCCAACTGCCCCACCCTAGCCAACTGCCCCACCTTAGCCAACTGCCCCACCCTAGCCAACTGCCCCACCCTAGCCAACTGCCCCACCCTAGCCAACTGCCCCACCCTAGCCAACTGCCCCACCCTAGCCAACTGCACCACCCTAGCCAACTGCTCCACCCTAGCCAACTGCCCCACCCTAGCCAACTGCCCCACCCTAGCCAACTGCACCACCCTAGCCAACTGCCCCACCCTAGCCAACTGCCCCACCCTAGCCAACTGCCCCAGCCCCACCCTAGCCAACTGCCCCACCCTAGCCAACTGCACCACCCTAGCCAACTGCACCACCCTAGCCAACTGCCCCACCCTAGCCAACTGCACCACCCTAGCCAACTGCCCCACCCTAGCCAACTGCCCCACCTTAGCCAACTGCCCCACCCTAGCCAACTGCCCCACCCTAGCCAACTGCCCCACCCTAGCCAACTGCCCCACCCTAGCCAACTGCACCACCCTAGCCAACTGCCCCACCCTAGCCAACTGCCCCACCCTAGCCAACTGCCCCACCCTAGCCAACTGCCCCACCCTAGCCAACTGCCCCACCCTAGCCAACTGCCCCACCCTAGCCAACTGCCCCACCCTAGCCAACTGCACCACCCTAGCCAACTGCTCCACCCTAGCCAACTGCCCCACCCTAGCCAACTGCCCCACCCTAGCCAACTGCCCCACCCTAGCCAACTGCCCCACCCTAGCCAACTGCCCCACCCTAGCCAACTGCTCCACCCTAGCCAACTGCCCCACCCTAGCCAACTGCCCCACCCTAGCCAACTGCCCCACCCTAGCCAACTGCCCCACCCTAGCCAACTGCCCCACCCTAGCCAACTGCCCCACCCTAGCCAACTGCCCCACCCTAGCCAACTGCACCACCCTAGCCAACTGCCCCACCCTAGCCAACTGCCCCACCCTAGCCAACTGCACCACCCTAGCCAACTGCCCCACCCTAGCCAACTGCACCACCCTAGCCAACTGCCCCACCCTAGCCAACTGCCCCACCCTAGCCAACTGCCCCACCCTAGCCAACTGCACCACCCTAGCCAACTGCACCACCCTAGCCAACTGCTCCACCCTAGCCAACTGCCCCACCCTAGCCAACTGCCCCACCCTAGCCAACTGCACCACCCTAGCCAACTGCCCCACCCTAGCCAACTGCCCCACCCTAGCCAACTGCACCACCCTAGCCAACTGCCCCACCCTAGCCAACTGCAGCCAACTGCCCCACCCTAGCCAACTGCCCCACCCTAGCCAACTGCCCCACCCTAGCCAACTGCCCCACCCTAGCCAACTGCCCCACCCTAGCCAACTGCCCCACCCTAGCCAACTGCCCCACCCTAGCCAACTGCCCCACCCTAGCCAACTGCCCCACCCTAGCCAACTGCCCCACCCTAGCCAACTGCCCCACCCTAGCCAACTGCCCCACCCTAGCCAACTGCCCCACCCTAGCCAACTGCCCCACCCTAGCCAACTGCCCCACCCTAGCCAACTGCCCCACCCTAGCCAACTGCCCCACCCTAGCCAACTGCCCCACCCTAGCCAACTGCCCCACCCTAGCCAACTGCCCCACCCTAGCCAACTGCCCCACCCTAGCCAACTGCCCCACCCTAGCCAACTGCCCCACCCTAGCCAACTGCCCCACCCTAGCCAACTGCCCCACCCTAGCCAACTGCCCCACCCTAGCCAACTGCCCCACCCTAGCCAACTGCCCCACCCTAGCCAACTGCCCCACCCTAGCCAACTGCACCACCCTAGCCAACTGCACCACCCTAGCCAACTGCACCACCCTAGCCAACTGCCCCACAACAAATGCGAATCCAGGCCGAGTGTGCACTGCTGCATAGAGCAAGCTCCCCACCACAGATTGAAAACGAGCTTGTTCTCTCTGGTCCACCCCTTCGTTCTCACCAGCCTTGATGAGCTTGAATTCGGATCGGATGGGAGGGGTGTTACAAAACCTTCATCACGACTTCAGTCTTATACTTTTTTTCCATGTTCTTGATGTACTTCTCCTGATGCAGCTTCACCCATCCATTACTGACATCCCTCTCGATGTGCATGCCCAAACATCAGTTTTGCCTCCTTCAGGGTCTTGCACTTTCGACGCACCTTGGAGAACACACACACACATGTTGACATCCGCGTTATAGACTTTGCGAGGTTGAATTTTGGGCTGCCTCAAAAGCCAACCAGCGTGAGTGACGCACCTTGGAGAGGACAAACATGTTGACATCCGCGTTATAAGTGATGAGCGCAAACTCAATGGACTTGGTGAGGTTGTCGAAATAGAATCCGTCCACCAGGTACTGCAGTCGCTTGGTGGCCGCCACTCGGTGCAGATTGATGTCGAATATCAGCGGATAGGACTCAAGCCCGTCCTGGAAGGACGGATTGGGGTGGGGGGAGGAGGGTGTGGGGAGCGGGTTTAGGGAGTGGGGGAAAACACAGTGCTGCATGTGCAAAGGCGCTTGGTGGCGGCCACTCGGTGCAGATTCATAACGATAATGAGCCGATAGGACTCACTCACGACCGTCCTGGGGTGAGGGATTGATATGGACGGTGGAAAAGAGAGTGAGCGAGGGAGGCAATGGGAAGGAGGAGGGGAAAGGAAAACGGGGGAGAGTGGAGGGGCAGGAGGAATGGGGTGCATGGGTGGGGAAGGGAGGGGATTTGACCCGACCTTTACCCAACCTTGACCTACCACCAACTCACCATGGGGGGAACGAAGCCATAAGGGAGCCCTTCGTCGTTGAAGAGAGGAGCAGAGCTGAGGGTGGAATTCTCAAGGCCTGTCTGGTTGGCGGCGGCCACAATGGGGTCGTAGAGGTCAGAGGTGGAGAGGAAGCGCGGGTTGATGCCGAAGGACGTGAGGCTGGTGGCGTTTGTCAGGCAGTGCGGCCAGATGCTTGCGAACCTGGGAAGGGAGTGGGGAGGGCAGAGCAGAGGGGAGAGGAGTATGGTCAGCATATGGGCACAGAGCGGTGCAGTGTGATACTGCGTGACACAGGAGGAAACGATGGGGTCGTAAAGGTCAGAGGTGGAGAGGAAGCGCGGGTTGATGCCGAAGGAGATCAGGCTGGTGGCGTTTGTGAGGCAATTCAGCCAGATGTTTGCAAACCTGGGAGTAAAGGGAAGAGGGGAGAGGGAAGAGGGGAGGTGTAACACATGAGAACAGAGCGGTGAGATGCGGTGCAGTGCATGTGGTACAGAGAGCATCATAAAACCTGATGCGGAAGGAGGTGAGGCTGGCAACGTGTGACAGGTCAAACTGTGTGGTTAGATGCTTGCAGACCTGGAGGGGTCCAGAAGAGTTGACAAGGAGAACAGAATGTCACAATGTGGTTCCGTGTGTAGCATTTCTTGGATTGGCATTTACTGCGCTACCCATGTGTGGCACTTCTTAATTTGGCATTTACTGCGCTACCCGTGTGCGGCACTTACTTCTTGGATTGGCACTCGCAGGAGCCCCAGCGGGTCTGTAGCACATAAAGGCCCACTAGCAACCTGCATTGGGAAAGAGGGGGTAAGAATGGGTGAGTGAGAGTGGGTGGGGTTGGGGAAACTTGCAGGAGCCCCAGCGGGTCTGAAGCACATAAGAGGCCCACTAGCAACCTACATCGGGGGTGAAAGGGATATTGCTCGCATGCGCGGCCGGCCGGAACAAGTGCAGCTGGAGGAAAGGAAACAGCAGGTTCACCAGAGACCGCTTTTGAGTCGACTCAAAGCGAGCGCAGCTGGAGGAGCGGAAACAGCAGGTTCACCAGAGACCGCTTTTGAGTCGACTCAAAGCGAGCGCAGCTGGAGGAGCGGAAACAGCAGGTTCACCAGAGACCGCTTTTGAGTCGACTCAAAGCGAGCGCAGCTGGAGGAGCGGAAACAGCAGGTTCACCAGAGACCGCTTTTGAGTCGACTCAAAGCGAGCGCAGCTGGAGGAGCGGAAACAGCAGGTTCACCAGAGCCTGCGCCGAATGCTAAAACAGAACCCGCCGACCCCGTCGTTTCTTTCCTCGCTCCTCCTCACTCCCTCCCAATCCTCAACCCTCCCCACCCCCCCCCCCTCCCTCCCTCTCTCCCACCAACATAAATTTTCAACTTACCTGTTCCTCTCGGTCACATGTCGGTGCAGCGGCTTCTCATAGAGCTCTGAAAACTGCGTGTTGCTCGCATGCGTATCAACCCACCAATTCCCCTCCCTTGTCCCGTCTCTTTTGCACGCACTTGTTCCTCTCAGTCACATGCCGGTGCAGCGGCTTCTCATACAGCTCCTAGAACTGCGTGTTCTTGGCATGTGCGTCCGGCCCGAACGAGCGCAGCTGGAACAGGAACAGCAGGTTCGTACCCACAGCATCGGTGGGGCAACACGAACCTGCCTCCGACCTGGTCTGCCCTGCAGGGCACGGACACTCCCCTCCCACTCCCCCACCAACCCTTCCACTTCCCCATCCTCCCCGCCCCAGACATAACTTCCCAACCCACCTGTTCCTCTCAGTCACGTGTCGGTGCAGCGGCTTCTCATAAAGCTCTGAGAACTGTGTGTTGCTCGCATGCGCGTCCGGCCCGAACGAGCGCAGCTGGAACGGGAACAGCAGGTTCGACCCCACAGCATCGGTGGGACAGCACAAGCCTGCCTCCGACCTGGTCTGCCCTGCAGGGCACGGACACTCCCCCCCCACTCCCCCCCCGCTGCCAGCTAGAGTGGCACACTCGCAGTCTCCCCCGTCGAAGGCGCAGTGGTGATTGTTGCAGAGGGGGTCGCAGCGACCGTCGGCTAGGTTGCCGAAGGAACAGCCGGGGTAGCAGGAGGAGGTGAGCGGGGAGAGAAGCGGGGTTCCGGGGTTGGTGGTAGTGTTTGCATCAAAGAACGGGTCGAGGAGGAAAGCTGGGGGACAGGGGAAGGGGGAGGAAGGACAGAAAGGCTTGTTGAGACCTCGCATCCCAGAGTGGCGCACTCGCAGTGCAGTCCCCGCCGTCGAACGCGCAGTGGTGGTTGTTGCAGAGGGGGTCGCAGCGGCCGTCGGCTAGATTTCCAAAGGAGCAGCCAGGGTAGCAGGAGGAGGTGAGTGGAGAGATTGGTGGGGTTGTGGTGTTGTTGGTGGTGTTGGTGTTGGCATCAAAGAATGGGTCGAGGAGAAAAGCTGGGGGGGGGGGGGGAGGAAGGGGCAGGGGAGGAAGTAAGGTGAGAGAAGAGAAGTGGGGTTTCATGGAAGGTTGGCTGTGGCGTTGGTGGTGTTGGTGTTGGCATCGAAGAACGGGTCGACGAGAAAAGCTGGGAGATAGGGGCAGGGGGGGGAAGGACAGAGGGGCTAGTAAAACCTCTCGTCAGGGCAGTTGTGTCAGTACGCACATGGTACTCGCTACAAACAAGTCTTATTATAACACAGCATAACATAAGTTTGTATAAACAAGTGGTACATTTTATCTGCAAAAGGTACTTTATATCAGCAACACATCCACGGGTCACTCACACCAACAGCTGCATACTCACTAGAGTCATCCTCGCTATCATCCACAACATGTATTGTCGCAGTCATATCGGCCCCAAACCGCCCGCACTCCACTTTGTAGGAGCCAGTTTGAGTGAAGACAGCCGTGTAGGTGAACGCAGGAGCATCCGAGGGGCCATCTGTTACGGAAGGGGAGATAGTGGGGAGATGGGAGGGAGAGGAAAAGGGAGTAAGGGAGTGTTACAGGCCTCTAGGCACTTACTAATCGCCCGCACTCCACTTTGTAGTAGCCCGTTTGGGTGAAGACAGCCGTGTAGGTGAATGCAAGAGTGTCTGTCAGCCCATTTGTTACAGAGGGGAGGAGAGGAGGAGAGAGTGAGAGAGTGAGGGGGTTTTAGGGTAACAGGGTCTCTAGGCATGCATCACTTGCACTCCACTTTGAAAGAGCCGGTTCAAGTGAAGACTACAAAAAAGGCGAATTCTGGAAGGTTCTGACAGTCAAGAACTCACAGAAAGCACACGGGTGTGGCAGGCCGTCAAGAGGTATGGTGCCCACTGCCCACGCTGTCTGGAGCGCAGCGGCTGTGCCTTGACAGCACCATGCGGTTGGCTTGGCACAGCACATAAGACAGACACAGTTCTATCTAAGGGCACAGGGAAAGCACATGCGTGTCTTGATGCACAACTAAACTCACAGAGAGCACACGGGTGCGGCGGGCCGTCAAGCGGCATGGTGCCCACGTTGTCAGGCGCGCACCGGCTGTGCCTCGATAGCACCATGCGGTTGGCGCCATAGCCCTTGAAGAGACTGTCGTGCGCACTGCTGCCCAGCCCACGCACTGAAAGGACAAAGGAAGGGGTGAGCAGGGAAGGGAAAGGGCAAATGACCATACGTGCAATACCACTGACACTGGAGGAGTGACAAAAAAAAAAAAAAAAACCGTTTGAAATTCGGCAAAGCATAAGAGGCGAGGAATGTATAGGTGGAAGGCTTATATGCAAAGCAATTAGGGGGCTTATAAGTGTGGTACTGGAGGGACTAACCATTAACAGAGTGAGGATAGTCGTCAGCCCACACAAACTGCACACTGTCGCCCCTCCCTACTGCCTTGAGAGGCCTCATACGGTATGAGTCATACCTCAGCCTTAACGGACCAGGGCACAGTGACACCCTCTCATAACTCAACCTTAACGGAGCACACTGTCCGGGGCACAGTGTCACCCTCTCAACGCTCACCTTTAACGGAGTGAGGGTAGTCGTCAGCCCACACAAACTGCACACTGTCGCCCCTCCCTACTGTCACGTTGAAATCCGCCCCCACTGCCCACTCCAGCAAGCGCCCATCTGCATCGGGCAAGTTGAACAAAAGGGAAGGGAAGCGGAGTTGGGAAGAGCCAACACAGCACACCATCACAAACTGCCACCGTCACCATTGTCACCACCATCACAGAAGAGTCGACAAGTGAAGTGAAGAAAGGGCAGTCTTGAAACACTCTCGCGCAGGCTGCAGCCCTCCGTGCTGACGTAGAGGTGCGAGGAGAGGCGAGACAGCGCTGCCCCATCCACCACCACTATCGACTCCACCATTTTAGCAAGGCAAGGCGCATCAACGTGAAAAGAGAGCGACACTCACGCAGGCTGCAGCCCTCCATCGACAAGGCCAATCGCTGCAACATAGAGGTGCGAGGAGAGGCGAGACAACGTCACCCCATCCACCACCACCACTATCGACTCCACCATTTTAGATTGAGATGACAAGTGAAAAGAGAGCAACACTCACGCAGGCTGCAGCCCTCCGTGCTCCCGTCCACAAGGCCAATGGCAGCAACGTAGAGGTGTGAGGAGAGGCGCGACACAGTTGCCCCATCCAGAACCACCACCGACTCGACAGCATCCAGGAAGGTTCCTATGAACCGCGCAAACTGATCCCGGGACATGCGCAGTCGCCTGGAGAGCAGATCAGGGGCACTGACGGAAGAAGCGGTTTCATTAGAAGCAGTCCCATTAGAAGCAGCTCCGTTAGAAGCAGTCCCATTGGTGTTAGTGGTGTTGAAAGCAGGAGGAGGAGCAGGAGGGAAGCCGTGAAAGGCGAAGTGAGCAGCAGCAGCAGCCATGGATCCATCCACAGAGGTGAACGGGCCGAGCACACATCCGTTCCCTCCCACTGCTGCCACGTCAAATGAACCACCTCCAATCACATCGCTGCTGCTGAACAAACTGCTGCCAAGCAGGGAACCATCAGAAGCACCAGAAGCTCCAGCAGCAACACCTTGCCCACCGTGCGCTTCCCCCGGGCTGTGCAGCAGAGCACAGAACAAGGCAGAAACACGAGCCTGGGTGGCAGCATCGAGACACACGGCACACAACACGTTTGCAAGGCACGCGTCCCCCACCCACGAGAAGAGCGCGCGGCTGACAGCCACTCGCAGGTTGAACCACCGCTGCCGCTCCGTGGGGCCTAGAGCTGCCCACGCGTCTGTGATTGCCTGTGCGCCTGTGATTGCCTGTGTGTTCGCCTGTGATACTGCTTGTGCACCTGTGACTGTCTGTGCGCCTCCCTGTGAGATTGCTTGTGTGTCTGTGATCGCCTGTGCGACTAACTGTGCAGTGTTATCAGAAGTGGAGGTAGGGGTGGTGGTATCCGCAGCAGCAGCAGCTGCTGCTGCCGATGCTGCCGCCGCTGCTGCTGCTGCTGCTGCTGTTGCCGTCGGTGCTAGTGGGCTGGGCGCTGGCACTGCTGGTGTATTGGAAGGGTTTGGAGAGAGGAAACGAAGAGGGAGGAAGAGGGGTGGGGGCGGAGAGAACGGGTGGAGTGAAGGGTTGGATGCTGGCACTGCTGATGAACGGGAGCATATGTATGGAGGGACATGACTGAGGGAAATGATGGAAGAGTAGACACAATGCAGCTTGCAGGAGGACAAGCGGAAATTCAGGTGGAAACTCAGGTGGGAACCCAGGTGGAAAAACAGGTGGAAATTCAGGTAGAAACTCAGGTGGAGATTCGGGTGGAAACTGACCAGCATTCAAGGCTCTATGGCTCATAAATCCGCCGATTCTTCCAATACTCTCCATTCGGCCTCCCATGCTTCGCACACTCTCCACGCTCTCTACGTGTCCAATGCTGCCTGCGCTGCTACTGCTGTCGGTCCACACACTAAAGCCGCTATCTGCTCCTTCCTCTGCTTCCCCAGCTTCCCCTTCTTGCTCTTCCTCCTCTGCCTCCTCTTCCCCCACTCGTGCTGCTAACCCCACCTCGTCTGCTGCTTCTGCTGCCGCCCCACCCTCCCCATTTTCTGCTGCTGTCCCTCCCTGCGCCTTTAACACCACCACATCTTTTTCTCCCTCCTCTACCCCTTCTCTCGTGCCCTCCATGGGGGCATCGCGCCTCACATGCCACAGGGGGTGGTGGTGGCGTGGCAGCGAAACATCTCCATTCGATCCCCCGAAAACGCCCAGCATTCGTCCCGCAGTCCGCTTTCTTGCAGCAGAGCGTATCTTCCCCTGAGCTCGCACCTGTGATTCCACATGAGCTCGCTCCTCTATTTTCACCTGAACGTTCCCCTGCGGTTTCCCCTCTGCACGTGGCACTTCTAAAGGAACAGTCTGACTCAGACTCATCTGTCGCTGCACGTGCCCCTGTGCTCGCCCCTGCAGAGGCGGTGTCTGCGATGCCAGCCCTCGAACCAGAGTCGCCTCTAAGGGAGAAGTCGTGCTTAAGCTCATCGGTGTCTGCACATGCCCTTGTGCTTGCCTGTGCAGTGATGGTATCTGTGGTGGTTGCCCTCGAACCAGCTGCAGCAACCGCCGCTGGTGGGATGTCACCTGAAGAAGGGGGGGCATGGGGGGAACATGAGTGGATGGTCCATAGAAAAAGGGGCGGTGGAGTGAAGGCATGGGTGAAAGGGGGGTGGCGTGACAAGAGTTGACTTGACGCAACAAAACTACTGGAGAAACCACATTTTTGCGATGACGCCAGGGGTGGATAGGTGGATATGTTACTCACATGCGCACACGTGGGTGGATAGGTGGATATGCTACTCACATGCGCACTGCTGTTGCTGGAGTTAGAGCTGCTGCTGCTGCTGCTGGCGTTTCCTCTTAATGCCTTCACATATGTGGCGTTCACTGTGTGGAGAGCAGAGCAGAGAGAGAAAGAGAGAGAAGTGGGAGAGGGAAGCGGGGTGAGGATACCAAGAAAGGACTTATGAGTTTACTCTCAGGAGCCAGTCGTTTCTTTTCAAAGCCTTGACCTATGTGGCGTTCACTGTCTGGAAAGCAGAGAGAGAGAGAGAGAGAGAGAGAGGGAGAGAGAGAGAAGTGGGAGAGGGGGAACGTGGGTGAGGGTACCGACGAAGCACTTTTGAGTTGACTCTCAGAAGCCACTCGTTTCTCCTCAAAGCCTAGACCTATGTGGCGTCTACTGTGTGAAGAAGAGAGAGAGCAGGGGGGCAGGAAAAAAGGAACCAAGAAAAAAGGAGGGATGGCTTTTGAGTCGACTAATAGACAGAAACTCTGTTGTGAAATTCAATACTTGCCTGATTTTGCAAATGGTTGCTTTCAAGTCGCTCTCAGTTGCTTGCACATACATGCGCAGAATCGATAGGCCGAATTTCACCATTCAAGACATGGGTGGTTGCTACTCTAGTTCACCGTCCGGTCAGCTTTTGGATGCCTGGAAACCTTCAAAACAAGCACAGATGAGATGAGTTACTCATGTAACTCATCAACCACCCACGAACCTTCATGAGATGAGTTACATGCAGCACATATCCTTACCTGAGCAGTTGATGTTTTTCAGGACGGTGGTGGTGGTCCGTAGCATCTGGAGGCAGAGAGGGAGAGAGCACAAGGACAGGTGCAAACGTGAGCGTATGGGGGTGCAAAGGTGAGTGTATGTCTGATAACCCGTTATGCTCTTGAAGCATGAATTGCTGTATCAATCCGTGTGCTCACCTGAACGCACGTCCAGTTGCTGTACTGTGTGATTGTAAAGGGCGCCATGTTGCACACCATACCACAGCACAGTCATACAACATACAGAGCACCATACAGAGCGCCCACCGAGCACTATACAGAGCACCATACCGCACCGCACTACACCACATCGCGCATACACTCCACAACTAAGCCGCTCACCTGAACGCATGTCCAGTTGCTGTACTGTGTGATGGTAAAGGGCGCCATGTTGCACACAACCGCACAGTCCACAAACACTCCCGACGCCTCTTCCACCCCCACGTTCTCACACGCGCCCAGCACACACGTTGCCATAGCAGCACACGTCTCCCTACACCCATACAGCCTCTTAGCCAGCACTGCTGAACGCCCGTTCGCCACTGTTGTCTTACTCGTCGCACACCCACCCCATGTTACCACTACGTCTTTACTCGCTCCCAAGTCTGTAAGCTGGGCTAACGTTGTATCCACCACCCCCCCTGATTCTCCCCCGTTGCCTGACACGCTCCAGGCCGTCCCCCAGCCTGTTGCTGAGCCTCGGGCGCTGGATCGGCCGCCCCTGCCGTTGGTTCGTTGCAGGGTGGCGTTGCCACTGAGTGCGCCGACCACTTGCACTATCCCCCGAACACCGCCGCCCGGCGCGTCGAGCTTGATTTGCCAGTCGCCGTCCGGGATGAAAAGGTCTAATGCGATTTCTGATTGGAGCTCTGAAAACACCTGAGGCTCCTCGAACCTGAGGGAGGTTAGGGGAGTGTGGGAGAGGATTGCGGATGGGGAGGGAGCAGCTTGATTAATGTCCGCACATGCAAGGCAGACGACCATGTGGAGTGGGATGAAGCGGTCTACTGCTATTCCGCAGCACACATACTGATATGCACGCGACTCACCAGCACAGGTTGGTGGGTTGAACCATACACAGGTTCCAGGAGCTGCCCTGCTTGTCAGATTGCGAGGAGAAGGACGAATGGATATGAACCACCACGTGCGTCACGTTCTCAAACACCCCGCAGTCTGCTTCGCATCCGAACCGCCCGAATGCTGCGTATTCTAGGGGGTTGTCGCACACGCTGTTGCCGCAGTGCGGCCCCTCCCACACCACCTGTGGTGCAGGCAGCGAACAGTGCAGCAGACAGGATGGGTCAGAGTAAGATGGGGTTACACAAGACCTCTCTCAGTACTCAGGGATTGTCGCACACGCTGTTGCCACAGTGCAGCCCCTCCCACACCACCTGGTGATGAGCAGCGGCAGCAGAGGCAGTAGAGGCAGGGAGAGGGGAGGGAGTGGTGAGACGAGTCAAAGCCAAAGCACCACCACGTGGGTCACGTTCTCAAACACCCCGCAGTCCGCCTCGCACCCGAACCGCCCGAATGCTGCATATTCCAAGGGGTTGTCGCAAACGCTGTTGCCGCAGTGCGGCCCCTCCCACACCACCTGTGGCGCAGGCAGCGAACAGTGCAGCAGACACGATGGGTCGGAGTAAGATGGGGTTACACAAGACCTCTCTCAGTACTCCAAGGGTTTGTCGCACACATTGTTGCCGCAGTGAGGCCCCTCCCACACCACCTGGCGATGAGCAACCGAGGCAGCAGAGGCAGTAGAGGCAGAGAGAGGGGGAGGAGGGGTGAGACGTGTCAAAGCAAAAGCATCACCACGTGGGTCACATTCTCAAACACCCCACAGTCCGCTTCGCACCCAAACCGCCCAAATGCTGCGTACTCCAAGGGATTGTCGCACACACTGTTGCCACAGTGCGGCCCCTCCCACACCACCTGTGTGGTGGAGACCAGGAGACAGGACCAGCGACAGAGACGTAGGGAGACGAGGGTGAAGGAAGGCATGATTAGAACCAGCATGGTGCGTGTCATGTGGGCGGGAGTTTGGTGCTAAGCATGTTAATCACACAATTCCCTGCACAGCAGCGCCTCGCCTGCCCCACCTGTATGATTACTCACTCCTATTATCTCCCACCTGTTCTATTTCTCAACTGTATTACTCTCACGAGTATCACCACGCACCTGTATGATGCTGTCGTTAACCCACTGGTACATCTCGTCCGGTCCACTCATGGCGTTGAGCTCACTGCCTGATGCCCCCTGGGGGAAACGGAGGGGAGAAAAGAGGAGAGTGGGGAAAGGAAGGAGGGAGTGGGGTGGGGGTAGGGGTGGGGGTTGACGGTGGGGTTGGTGTAAGAGAGTTGACCTCGCTTTTTCATGCACCCCCTACGGGGATGGGGAGGGAAAAGACGGAGGACAGGTGAGGAGAGGAAGACGTAGAGCGAGAGATATTACACTAGTTTCAGTTGAGGAACGACCACCACATAGGTACCGGCTACAGCACGACCGCCACATAGGTACCGGCTACAGCACGACCGCCACATAGGTACCGGCTACAGCACGACCGCCACATAGGTACCGGCTACAGCACGACCGCCACATAGGTACCGGCTACAGCACGACCGCCACATAGGTACCGGCTACAGCACGACCGCCACATAGGTACCGGCTACAGCACGACCGCCACATAGGTACCGGCTACAGCACGACCGCCACATAGGTACCGGCTACAGCACGACCGCCACATAGGTACCGGCTACAGCACGACCACCCACCTCTTATCTTGACCCACTGTATCCAAACTTGCACCGAGCTACACTGACATCCAAACACGCTTGTAGTGCTCACCGAAGGATAGACAGCACCAACATGTAGACAGTAGACCCTGTGGTTCTCACCGAAGGGAGCAGTCTGTTGTGCGAGGTGGACACCTCAAACCCATACGTGGAGTCTGCTTGCATGTACAGCACCACTTACCAGCATTTACAGCACCAACATGTAGACAGTAGACCCTGTGGTTCTCACCGAAGGGAGCAGTATGTTGTGTGCGGTGGACACCTCAAACCCGTCCGTGGAGTCTGCTTGCATGTACAGCACCACCATATACAGCACGATGAAACAGAGGAACGACACCAGATTCTTGTAGTCGTCTAATCGCTTATCCGCTGCTTTGACTTTGAAGTAGATGTCTGCGGTTACAAGAGTGGATGGCGGAGGAGGGGAGGAGAGGAGGGGAGGGAAGGGGGGTCGGCTTGCATGTACAGCACCACCATATACAGCACGATAAAACAGAGGAACGACACCAGATTCTTGTAATCGTCCAGCCGCTTATCCGCTGCCTTCACCTTGAAAGGGATGCCTGGAATACGAGCAGGGAAGGGAGAGGGATAGGTTGGGCGTGTGCGTGTGGAGAGCACTGCGATATAGAGAGCACGATGACGCAGAGGAACGGCACCAGGTTCTTGTAATCGTCCAGCCGCTTGTCTGCCGCTTTGACCTTGAAGTAGATGTCTGGGGGGGCAGGGGAGGAGGGGAGAGGGAAGGGAAAGGGAGTCTGCTTGCACGCAGAGCACTGCGTTGTGGACGGCAGTGAAAGCACAGGAATTAGAGTCGAAGGAACGACAATCAGGGGAACGATACCAGGTGACTGCAAGTTCGAACCAATCCCGCACCACCCCTCAACTTCCAGCATCACAGCATCGATCTGCTCCTCGTCCTCCTCCTCATCGCTCGCCCAATCCTCCCAATGCACAGCAGGCTGCCTCACGGGCTGGTTGCTCCCCCCTCCAAGTGCCATACCAGCTACCATACTCATCATTCATCACACACCCCCACCACTCACCTTCCAGCATCACAGCATCGATCTGCTCCTCGTCCTCCTCCTCATCGCTCGCCCAGTCCTCCCAATGAACAGCAGGCTGCCTCACCGGCCGGTTGCTCCCTCCCCCGCCACCACTGCTCCTTCCTGTGGTGGTGTGCTGACCCGTGGCGGTGGTGGCGTCATGGTCATCCGCGGTGGGGACCTTGAAGGTGCCGTCTGGAAGGAGGATGTGTGTGTGCTTGCCCATCGGCACCTCCTGTGACGGATCGTAGTCCGTGGGAGGGGGTGTGCCTTTGAGGACGGTTGCGGCCGAGGCATGGCCAGACCTGGACGGGAGGTCCGGGAGATTCGGGAGGTTGGGGCAGGAGAAAGGCTAGCTGAGCTAGTGGAGGGTGTGTGTTTTGGTGGAATCGGGTGGGTGTGCTGCCCAGTAGCGGTACTGGCGTCATGGTCATCCGTGGTGGGGACCTTGAAGGTGCCGTCAGGGAGGAGGATGTGTGTGTGCTTGCCCATCGGCACCTCCTGTGACGGATCGTAGTCCGTGGGAGGGGGCGCTCCGCCTTTCAAGAGAGCGTTGCTGTCAAGAGGGGGTCGCGCCAGACCTGGACGGGAGGTTCGGGAGGTTTGGGAGGGTGGAAAGGCTAGCTGAGCTAGTGGTGGGGTGGGTGTGTGTTTTAGCGGAATCAGGTGGGTGTGCTGGCAGCTGACCCGAGGCAGTGGTGGCGTCATGGTCATCCGCGGTGGGGACCTTGAAGGTGCCGTCTGGGAGGAGGATGTGTGTGTGCTTGCCCATCGGCACCTCCTGCAACGGATCTTAGTCCGTGGGAGGGGGTGCGCCTTTGAGGGCGGTTGCGGCCGAGGTATGGCCAGACCTGGAGGGGTGGTTCGGGAGGGGAGTGAGGGGAAGTAAACGTGCGTGTTCTTGCCCGTTAGGACTTCCTGCGACGGATCATAGTCCGTGGGCGGGGGTGTGCCTTTGGCCTGTGTGGCTGTGGTGGTGGTTATGTCCCACATTATCCGCACCACAGCGTGCTCTCTTCACCTTGTAGACATATTATCCGTGTCGGGTCCCACTTTGCTTCCCGTGCCCACAGTGCTGCCCTCCTTCTGACTCCCCCCCCAGATCGCCGCAGCAGCAGACACCGACAGAACCTTCGCCGCAGCTGCCACCACCGCCGCGTCTCGCTCTTTGTCCTTATTCGAACCCCCTTTTCCAATCCGCTCTGTGCCGTTAGCCGTTGCGCTTCGTTCCGTTCCCCGCTCCGTCCCCCTATCCGTTCCCCTATCCGTTCCCCTTTCCGTACCCCTATCCGCGACAGAAATGCTGCTCCTATGAGTCGTCTCGTACCCTGACACGCCGCTCCGCTCTGTCCCCCTCTCCGTGCCTAACGGCGGCGTTTGCGGCCGCGGCCGAGCCATCAGCTCTCGACTCCGCGGAACCAGCTCCCCACTCCGCGGAACCAGCTCCCCGCTCCGCGGCACCAGCGGCTCCTGCACCTCCGGCTCCCCCCGCGACCCTCCCCCTCCGCGCTTGAACGACACACGCGCGCGAACGGTTTCCCGCCACAACGCGTTTTTTTCCTCCACGCTCATCCGCCTTCTGTCGCCGTGTCCCCCGCCATGTCCCCCGCCATGGCCACCACCCTGTCCCCCGCCGTGTCCCCCGCCCTGTCCCCCCCCCTGTCCTCCGCCGAGATTGTAGGCACGGGCTCCGCCGGGAGCGCCATCGTCTTCTTCGTGCGCCGAGAGCGGCTCGAAGCTGAGGCTGGATCGACGGCTGCGATTGCCGATCTCTGACGTGTCACCATCCTCGCCGAAGAGGAAACTCTCGAGATCGCCGTCCGTGACGCGGTTGCTCCCGCCGGCGCCTCCGCGGCGAATTACAGCTGTTACTACTTCCGCCATCCCAGCCTCACTGTTTTCCTAAACTGCTTCCTAACTTACTAATTGGTGTGAGTCCGGATGGTTCCGGACCCACCTAATTATCTTCACCACTACCAGCAAGACCGAGGCGGTGACTACAAATACTAGTCACCGGTTGGTTGCACTATCGTACTCTACACCTGATCGGATCGCTCCACGCTTCACATGTGCGAGAGCATATCGCCAGAGCGTGCCGAGCGTGGCCCAGAGCTTGCCTACTGAGTCTGAGATCCTTGCTCCAATTTTTTAACAAATAACTAACCAATTTGCTGCTGCACTGCTCCTTTTCAGAGAATCTAACTTGAGACGACCTGACCCAGTTTTTTCTAGCGTGCAATAATTGAGGCTTTTTTTCCTTGATTTCTTTAAATCGTAATAAAGTCGATATGGCGAATAACCGGCTGGTGCAGCTTCGCTCGCGTCTTTCTGATATTCTTCTGAAGCCCTCAAACAATGTGTTGCATTGTCGCACTAACGTCGTTGCACACTGATTGTCCGACACGGGAACGCCACGGCGAGATTGCGCGTGCTTAGAAAGGTTTCAGACGATATTGAAGACGGAAGGTTGGCTTAATTCAGGTATAGTAGTAAGTAACGCTATAATTACTAAGCGCGTGGTTCCGCGAATATAATTAACGGTGACAGCCAACAGAGTAGTTGACAGCCGGACAGGCAGTGTCAGTAGTCCAGACAGATGTGTCAGCAATTTTCCGAAAGGTGCGTATGTCGACCGATGCTAGATAGTACCGTCTGTTATTTCGCTGGATAGTCGATTGTAATACAGAGGCTAGCAGTCACCATGAATTGTCGCCGACCACAACTGTTCCAAGAGTAACTGAGACATTTGCGGTTGTACAGTGAGCTGTACGACATACGGTGAGCTGCACTCTGCATTGCTAAGGAACAAAAGTTACACGTTGTTAGTCCCAATTCTTGTGGATGCTCGGGTCTGGGTCCTCGTTTCTGCTGTCTTGCTGTCCGTGTGGACTACAGAAACTTTGAATACCTGGAGTGCAAGCCTGGTCACTCTGGGAGTTCAAGGCCGAGTCCGAAGAGTGATAAGAGCGTTTCACCTCCCAGTTCGAACAAGCCCCTTGTTCGAACAGGCGGAGTGTTACAAGCTTCGCCAGAATTCGTAGGGACCTTAGCGATGTCGCTAACCCTAAGTTTCGCCAATCCGAACAACGCTGTCACATCAGGCATGTGTTGCACGTTCGAACAGCCCTGTTCGAACACAGAATGATAGGCGTGCCCCACCCAGCGCGGACGACACGTTGATTGGACAACACCCCGCCTAGTCGCAGGCGAATTCGTTTGTTCACCAGAAACTGTCGCAGTGCATCGAAAAGGGCATTGTTGCTGGGAAACAAACAGGTGAGCAGTAGTAGTAGAGCACGAAGATAAATTTGACTGGATGGGCGAAAAATGCGTCAAACTGGAATGGCAGGCGAATGAAAAAAAAAATCATGCAACGTTTTGCGAAGTCGCCCAATACTTGGCGACGTCGCATGTTCGAACAGGCTGTCACCTCTGGTCACGAGCTGTCACATCCACCAGGGTTTCAAATTTGTGTTCGGATCTTGTCGGGAAACTGTTCGTACACTAAATTCGTTATGTATGTTCGGATTTGAGCCTTCCAGCCTCGAGGTGAAGCGCCCTAAACTTTGGAGAATCTTTGCAGGGGAGCTCGTTTTAGGTACCATTAGGTTTGAGCTGACAATGAGAGCTCATCTGAACCACATACTATCAGGGTATGGACGCCTTAGGGCGGGTCAAACTTTGCACGCAGAAAACCCTACCCAACCATCTCGTATTTAAAAAAGACCGCTCTGTATCAAGCCTTAACCTTTTTGAACCGCAATCGGACGTACTCTTTTGACCCGCCCTTACAGGCGTTATCGAGGGCGTACGCCCAGAATCCGATTTTGCCAACGCGACTCGCGTCTTGTCTCCGTTTCTACTAGCCTGTCCTATACTCCACCGTTTGTTATATATACATAGCAAAAGGTAATGTACTACAAACGGTGGAGTTTACTCTAGTGGGAAAGCACTACAAGTGCACACTGCATCGGCTATGATAAAATATAATGACGGTGATGTTGGCTGGGTGCCGCGCCCAAGAGCGAGGCTGGAAGGATTCCAGCCTATCCATGGACTGGGTTCGGCGTGCTACATCAAATGGTAACAATCCACCTTAAAGTAAAAGGGCTCTCGTTATCAGACCAGATTGGTCTTGTGGTCTGATTTCCATACCACATTTTCTGTTTCATCTGATTTCAAAGACAAAGGAATTTATTTCGTCTGTTCCATAAGACTTGTGTGTGTGTGTGTGTTTTTTTTTTTTTTTTTTTTTTTGTTTTCGTCTGTTTTTTCAAAGCATGTGTAACACTTGCGAGTATGTTTTCGTCTAACACCGCCTCCCCTCTTCTCCCCCGGTCCCCCACCCATCCGCCTCCCCTACCCTTGTCGCAACCACTATCCTTCCCCGATTTCTCGCTCCTTCATCTATCCGTCCAGCCTCCACCCATTCTCCCCGACCAAGAGGCCCTCAATCAAATCCTCGATCCTCCTGCCTGCAGCCCCAGCCCAGCCATCCTCCCCTCCCTGTCAAACTATAATGCTACTTGTGATGTGTAGGCTGTAGTGGGGTAGCCTATATGGGGTACAACCCCATTAGGGTTATACTTGTACTCGGTTTGATGTCAATGCAGTCATTCCTGCTCGTTAGTTTCTGACATGGTATCAAAGCAGGAATGACTGCATTTACATCAAACCGCTAAACTCGTTGCTTCTTTCGTGGCAGCACCACAGTCACACCGCTAGCAGCACCGGTTACAGCCTCTCCGGCTGATCCCTCTAGGGGACAGGTTCTTGCACGTTCCTCCACTGTTCTCCCGTGTCCGACGGTTCCGTCTGGCTCACTGTCAGGTCTTCAACTCCCCTCATTCTCTACGAACTTGGTGAGCAATGCCGTCCTTCCGGAAGAATGGGTTAATACCTTTACGCCTGGGGAACAGCGTGTCGCGATCTGCTTGTGTGCACGGATGGGCCGTCACCTGGCCACGTTCACCCGCCGGCCTGGGTCGAGCCTGTACACACTGACTACTGCGCCTCCTCAGGTAGCTGCGTCTGCGTCCGCGTCAAGTCAGCTAGCAGCCTCCTGCTCGTGTCGCACCCTGTCGCACCAGACTCTCCTTTGGCACCACCGCCTTGGTCACCCCTCTCTGCCACGCCTCCGTGGCATGCACTCTCGCCTTCTTGTCTCAGGTCTTCCCATGTCTCTGCCTCCCCTCCCACCCTCGCCTGCCCCACCCTGCCATCCCTGTATCGAGGGGCGGCAGCGCGCCGCTCCTCACTCCTCCTCGTTTCTCCCGACGACTGCTCCCCTGCAGACTCTCCACTTTGACGTGTGGGGCCCAGCCCACGTCCAGGGACGGCCGCGAGCGATACTTTCTGTTGGTCGTTGACGACTACCCGCGTTACACCACGGTCTTCCCCTTACGCAGCGTGGGTGAGGTCCCTGATGTCTTGATCCCTTGGATCCGCGCTGTCCGTCTCCAGCTTCGCGAGCGGTTCGACACGGACCTTCCTGTCCTGCGTCTGCACTCTGACAGAGGTGGTGAGTTTTCCTCCAACCTCTTGCGGAACTTTTGTCGTGGGGAGGGCATTCGCCAGACGTTCACGCTTCCGGCATCTCCACAGCAGAATGGGGCTGCTGAGTGCCGCATTGGCCTAGTCATGGAGGTCGCTCGTACCTCCATGATCCATGCAGCTGCCCCCCATTTTCTGTGGCCGTTTGCGGTCCAGTACGCTGCGCATCAGCTCAACCTCTGGCCCTGTATCTCCTTGCCGGAGACCTCGCCGACACTTCGTTGGACGGGAGAGGTTGGCGATGCGTCAGTGTTCCGGGTCTGGGGATCTCGTGCCTTTGTTCGCAATACCTCCGCGGACAAGCTCTCCGCCTGCGCCGTTCCCTGTGTCTTCCTTGGTTTTCCCCTTGACGCGCCTGGCTGGTAGTTTTACCACCCCACCTCGCGTCGTGTTCTGTCCGCTCAGGACGTCACGTTTGACGAGTCGGTTCCCTTTTACCGTCTCTTCCCCTACCGCACTGCCCCTCCCCCTCCCCCGCCGCTCTTCCTTGCTCCAGGTCCCCCTCCGGTAGATCCCCTCCCCCCTCAGGGTCCTGCTCTTTCAGGTGTGTCTCAGGTAGACCCACTCCCCTTGGTTGAGCCTGTCGAGGTCACTGGTGACTCTGGTGCTGCTGGGGGTGCTGAGCCTGCGGATGCTGAGCCTGAGTGTGAGGAGCCTAGGGGTGCTGAGCCTGTGCGCGAGGAGCCTGGGGGTGCTGAGCCTGCGGTTGCGGAGCCTGAGTGTGAGGAGCCTGAAGGTGCTGAGCCTGCGAGTGCGGAGCCTGGGGGTGCTGCGTCTGAGCGTGCGGAGCCTGGGGGCGCTGAGCCTGAGCATGCGGAGCCTGGGGGTGCTGAGTCTGGGGGTGCTGAGCCTAGGGGTCCTGCGTCTACACTACGGGGGCCTCTCTCACGACAGCAGTTGCGCGAGTGGTACGCTCGGCGCTGTAGCCTTCAGCGTGGCGTTGCTGGAGCTGGAGGCCCTGGAGCTGCTCCTGGGGGTGCTCGTGCTGGTGGCGCTGGAGCTGCCGGAGCTGGTGGTGCTGCTAGTGCTAGAGGTAGTGGAGTTTCTGGAGCTGTTGGAGCTGGTGGTGGTGCTACTGCTCGAGGTGCAGAAGCTGCTAGTCCTGGAGGTGCTCGTACTGGAAGTATTGGAGCTGCTGGAGCTAGTGGTGGTGGTGCTGCTGCTGGAGGTGCTGGAGCTGCTGGTCCCGGGTTTGCTCGTACTGGAGGTACTGGAGATGCTGGAGCTGGTGGTGGTGGTGCTGCTGCTGGAGGTGCTGGAGCTGCTGGTCCCGGGGGTGCTCGTACTGGAGGTACTGGTGGTGCTAGTGGGGCTGGCACTGCTAGTCCTGG